AAACTAAACTAAATGGGTTACCCTCTTTAACGATGGTTGAAATAAAAAATTAAAAAAAATAAATACCCACTCTGACCCAAGACCCTGTTACATGCCTGGTGTTAGCGCCAATCTGTGCCCTTGTGCGGACAGGGGATGTTCCCCCCTTCTGAAGCTGGAAACCTTGTTGTTGCAAGACAAATTGATGCAATTTGCTATTATAGGCCTAATCAATAAATTCCTCATCAACCGATATAACCTTAAACATTCTTGGAATTGACATAACATTACTGATGTCGTACACACCCTTCAGTGTGAAATGTGGCTCTCTTTGCAAGCACATCTAACATCTAAGGAAAGAAGAGCTTAGATTGGTACCAGATAAAATAATGCTGTTATCAACATTAATACACTATGCTAATTTTCATCTTTGTAAGCGCATAAGACAGCGCAAATTATTTCTGTGACAGTCTTTTGAAGAGTGTAAAGCTCCATTTTACCCCATACATAGTCAAAATATTGGGGGGGGGGATGATACAATGGACCATCCCCCCTTTTCAAATATTGGGGGGATATATCCCCCAATCCCCCCGGGATCTACGCCTATGAAGAAATGGGCACCTCAGCCTGTACATGTTCGATTTCCCTTACCTTGAAAAATTAAGAGATTTTTAGAGGTTTTACAGATTTCTTTTTCCTCATTCAGCATGTTTTTAATAAATCATTATCACTTTTTACCTGAAGGATCTCGTAGTTCTTATTGCACATATTATATTGAATATCAAGCCATATCGTAGGGCATTTTGTAAACGAGTTACGGTAGTACGGTTCCTAATATACATATTAGGCCTATATGTACACTGTTTTCACTTTAGGTATTTCATAATCTTCAACTACATTGTATCATAATGATCTCTGTTTCACGTGTAGGCATCGTCGATTCTTAGTGTGTACCAACATAATTATATAGTTTAGACGATTTAGAGTTCACCTCTTTACGTGTAACATTTCGTATATAAAAAGTATATCTTCGGAGATAGTCTTGTCGTTAATTGCCTCCAATAGGATTTGAATTTTAAATACTGTAATTTACTAAAATTTAAGCTAAAATTCATTCCGGCCTTCTTCAGCCCATTTTATGAGGGCGTATAAATTAACAGTTGTCGATAGAATGCCTTGACTTTTGGAACTTCTGCCATTGTTTTGAAGATGCCCTATTGAAGACTGTAATTAAAGCCGTCTTTTTCAGACGTCTTCTCTACTCACTCATGACTACAGCAGAATGAACCTTACCATTAAGCCCCGACCCTAGAATATTTATGTATTTTACCTGATTTCTTTATGTTACTTGTTTTTATGAATGTGAATGTGTTTGTTGTCTTTTTTTACTTGACCTTGTGGAGGAACAGTAGATTTCCTTCTGAACAGGTTCCTCAGTATAAAGACAAGAAATTAAAAAAATATATCGTTGCTAATGTCTCACAAAACGACATCGTAAATGAATGTAAACTTCCTGACTCTAAATAATACGTTCTGATTGGTCAGTTGCTAAGTTTGATTGACACTCCAGTATAATGAGCATTCTACACAAAATAATGAACATCAATATAATTCAACTTTATAATTTCAACGTAATCATTTATTAATCATTTATATACTCATATTTTTAATTGCAGGAAATGTAATTAACCTATACCGAGAACTGAAATTGCATTACAACATTATATTGCTAAGCTCCATGCTTCAGCAATTAAAATAATTCGGAAATCAAATCACACCAATGTTTTAAATAGAGAGTAATTATAATTATCTGCATTTTAAAGTAAATGTTAACTAATGCATGCATGATTTTTACTTGACGCAGGGTTTCCGTAACGCCGCCGTTAGCAGCGTGTGCGAAGCACAACTCAAAATCAGAAATGGAATGTGAAATTTGGATTTGGTTTTGTAGTCAGATTTGCGAGAAAAACTTCAGCTTCCCTATTTCTCGACTGAGACGTCAGTGGAAGATGTAATTTGTATGGCAAGGAGATGGTGCTACCCTTAAATCGTATTAGGGAATTTACGCCCACAAACCTTGTAGTTATTAATATTTTTGTTGTAATAGAAAATGTTTATTTTTTGGGGAGTCACACTCACAATATAGTTAAGATGCATACGTCATAAGATTACGTCACCTTTTCCTGGTAAGGCAAACTTTCTCGGCGTGCTTTTTTCATGGATAAACACCAATGCGTTGCACATGGATGCCTTGCCTAGCTAGGGCTACAAGAGCCGCATTGTTAGCATTGTATAATACTTAAGCAAGGTACGTCTGCAACTGAAACCGAAAGGTCCACTGATTAATCTCAGATAAGATAGTATAATACATAGTCCAAGTATCGAAATGCACGCCATCGTGTCGGGATTTAATATTTCGAAATTAATTATGCCATCATCATAATTAATGGTTGATGATAACATAATTAATGTCATCAATTGATGATGACATAATTAATGTCGAAATATTGAATACCGATATGATGGCGTGTATTTCGATACTTGGACTATGTATTATCTTATCTGCAACTGAATTATTCTTATTTAATTTTTTTTTCGAAAGTGTACTTTCTATCACATTTAATTGCACTGTCTATTTAGGCCTAGTTTTCTTACCATGGAGGAAATTATATTTCCTCCATGGACTTACTAATAAATAGCCTCACCGTCCCCCGCTACACTCACAGTACATCAGTAGGGTAGGCAACAGAACGTGATGTGCCATCCTTCCCAGGTTTTAGTGTAACATTTGCATATTGCTGGCTAACCAACTTCTGTTTACCGCCCCTACCCCTCCACGCTACAGTACAGACGTATGCTAGGCAACAGAACGTGATATTGCCCCTCCCTTCCCAGGTGTCCATGCAATATTTGCATATTGTTAGCTAACCAGCTGCGTATTCCTTTGTGAAAATGAGTACCGCGACGTCTCATTTTCACAAAGCATTTGCATCCCCTCTTGCCTCATGAGCACCATACTTCGAAATAATTGTCTCCATATCTTCGCTAATTATTCACCGTAATTTAGCTTACACTTATGCATGGAGTAACTTGAACACTTAAAATGTACAATAATCATTTCACTACCCAACAAACCCCGAAATTTATTCATGCATTACATAAATAGTTGCTGTACTCCACCATCACTGGCGCATGGTAACAACCAACTGACTGCAGACCATTTCCGGTCACACATTACACTCAATAGACTTGTCACAAGTCGCTAGTTATAGTTTTCCTTTATTATAGACAGCGCCGCCAACGAGCGAATAAAGTTCAGTTATAATTTTATCTTCGGTTGATTCGTAACCAGCTAATTCGAGAAAAAAAAGAAATCGAGTATGGGACGCCAATTACATTTGGTGTGGCGCGCATTAAGTGCAATAAAAAGTAAATAAACCAAAATTAGGGACTGGAACCCAGGCTATACTCTGCATAACGCAGCACCCTCTATTTCCGTCACCTCTGGATTTGTCTTGAAGAGTAAATGGAAATCATAAACATTGTTATTCGATTCAAACAGATTCTCAAATTCTTCATGTAAATCATTACTCTTTTTTTTTTCAAGTGCTGGATTTAAAAATGTTGTGATATTCTTCACTAAAATATGTACGCCCAATGGCTTTACATCTATTCTATACCTTTATAATGTGTTTATATACTTGATTTTATGATTTTACATATCTATTCTTTTAATTTCTTTTATAATTTTATTTAATCTTATTCGGTAAATTGCAAATGAAACTAAAAGCTAAATATTTCAAAGCATATTCATCGCAAAATAGCAAGCAAAATGGATAACATTTAACGTCATTTAAGCAAATATCCTCAGTTTAGTCTCCTCCATGTTCTCAAAGCTCTATTCACATTTCGTCAATGTTGTTCTCCAGTCTTTGGTATACGTTCTTAGTATTTGACCGAGCCCTTTTTGAAAGGACATATCCTACCACCAGGACTACCTGCATACCAACAGCAAGCAGCAGTGTTGTAGAAAACGCTGGAAATATTGTCTTCTGTGTCGACTCTGGAATATAGATTGGATAAGACGTCTAGCAATATTCAAATTTAAACAATAATCCACATTATCTTTGATTTTTTTGGCAGTACATTTAGGTGGTAAGACGGGTGTCTATAAAACGAAGACCCTTAAGTATTTCTTGATATTCCTCATTTTATTCCGATGAAATAATGAAATAAGTACTTAGCAACTGTTTTATGATGATTTTGAAATACTTTCAATAAGATAATTGAGAAATAATTAGAGGTCTTCGTTTTTCGGGTCTTCGGTCTTCGGTTTGTAGACACCCATATAGGGTGCCTATAAAACGAAGACCCTTGAAAATTTCACAAATAGACGCCCAAAAAAATTCGTAATTTTGATTTTGTGACAGCCTGGCGTATTATCATCAAAATCTTATATTTTATTATCAAAAAACTCTTCGCCCTTGCTCTGGTCTCATTTATAATGGGCTTATTTTGATATCATTAGCCCTTCCATCACTCACAAAACTATTCCACTGCCCATGTCAACATTATCTTCACAATCACATCGTTATTATTAACTCTTGAGAATGCATAAGTGTATCCCAGAGCCTGATTACACACCCCTCTATCTCACTTTTGGATATTTGCAAGTGACAAATGAAACTACAGTAGAACCCCTATTAAGGATACACCTCCGTGACCAAACAAATTGTCCCACTAATTGGGATGCCCCCTAATAAGGTACCATTGTTAAGGGTGTCGGGAGAAGCTATCCAAAACTGTGAAATTGATCCCTTAATAGGGGTTTTAGCAGGTACCGTAATCATAACATGAGGACATATTCTTGGATTTCTGTTTATCTTTAGGTTAAACTAAATTGTAACAATAATTCGCAAGCAAACACAATACATTTATGATGAAGTAGGCCTAATTATTATAATTAAAACAGTAACCGTTGTATATTGTTCTAAATTCCAGTGCTATAGCAAATGTAGCAGAATGAGTAGATTAGAAATCAGGGTGAGGGTTACAGTAGATTTCAGTGGCGAATACAGGGGGAGAGGGACAGCCAGCCCAAGAGAAAGAAAATTGTATTCAAATTTTAGTCTGAGAGTGGCATTTCTGGCCATCTAGAGATGCCATAATCATTAATTTTCTTACCTCAACCCCAACCATGTTGGCGCTGAGGTGGTCTAGGTCCTCCATCTGTGAAAACCCCTCCCTGGGACCCTCTTTTTAAAATTCTTGGATCCACCACTGGATTTGAATCCAACATAAAATGACACAAGAAGAAAACAAATTCCATGTTTAATAGTTAAATCGTGTATAAAAAAAAGTCCCATCATAAGTTTATACAAGGGAAACACACAGTGAGCCGACACAGATACCCATTTCAAGGATCAATAAAAATGTTCATTTATATTGTTATTTTGAGTAAAACACTGATGACTGAATCAGTAGTGGCGTAAATGGAGTCCAAGTGGCTACAGCCCCCCCCCCCTGCACTCCCTAGATACGCCACTGCAGCATCGATCCTGGCGGAATCACGTATGGACTGAATAGTGGCCTGAAAATGTGTTTTCATTTAGGCGCGGCGCTTGAACCAGTTTTTTCTTAAATGGATATCAGCATAAACGTTACATATCTACTCTCAGCTAACATCGTAGTGTATTATATGAGCCAATTTTGAATTATATGATATTTAAAATTATAGTAGTAGGAGCACACATCAAATATTGTTATGAAAAGTTTACTTTGGCCTATTTAGATGCCAGATTAATTCCAAATTTTAAGGACGAGTTCATCCAACAATGAATAAAAAAAATGATATCAGTCAGTTATACCTTCGGTCTCAAGGATGACCTTTGAGTCGTCCTCTGATTTCTTCAGTATCATAGGTCCAAGAGCAATCGGAATGGTGTCAGACAATTTATCGGGTGCAGAGAAGTCACGACGTTTACGTTGGCCGCAGTCTCTATGACACCGCCAGTCACTCCCGTTGCAAATAGACAATTCACAGTGAACAAACACCTATAATGCATTTGAATTTTTAATGAGAAATTTAAAAATGATTAGTTAAATTGGCTGTAAATCGGATATATTACACCACCACTGTACTATTAAATAAATTACATACCTGAATATGTTAATATTCTGAATAAAGTAAACAATCCTCTAATTAACATATAAACGTTTATATTCAGTAACTTTTTATCAAAATTTGGCAAGTGTGATGATCGACGAAAAGAAGCAGATGACGTCTAGTGAAATTGGCTAATGATTGTCAATTGTTACGATTTGTCGCCGACAAATCCGGAGGGTAAAAGGAAGGTTCAACTCTGCAGATCTGTTGGCAACGAATCGGGAAGCCTTTCCGATTGCGTCAGGGTAGTACGTAGTGTAAAGGTAACAACAGTGTAGCAATTTTATGGACAACAGACTTAATACTCGCAGTTCTTTAATACTTCTTACCGTAGGATAGTTATTGAAACAAAATGATTCAAACGAGAAAAACACATGTGCTGTATCTGCGGACGTTTGGCCATCGAATTCAATAGTTGGGTCCACGCCACAACTACAAGTAAAAATAAATACACCGATTTCTGACAGCTCCCAATCTAATATCTGTCTCTTATACACATCTAGTATTTGACCGAGCCCTTTTTGAAAGGACATATCCTACCACCAGGACTACCTGCATACCAACAGCAAGCAGCAGTGTTGTAGAAAACGCTGGAAATATTGTCTTCTGTGTCGACTCTGGAATATAGATTGGATAAGACGTCTAGCAATATTCAAATTTAAACAATAATCCACATTATCTTTGATTTTTTTTGGCAGTACATTTAGGTGGTAAGACGGGTGTCTATAAAACGAAGACCCTTAAGTATTTCTTGATATTCCTCATTTTATTCCGATGAAATAATGAAATAAGTACTTAGCAACTGTTTTATGATGATTTTGAAATACTTTCAATAAGATAATTGAGAAATAA